AAGGATAAAATATTCTGCTTATTTTGTTAGTTTATCAATTGTGATATTAAAGTTAATGAAATATAGCGTGCGGAAGGATTCTGAATAATTATTGAGTAGTCATGGGGTTCACTTACATTTTTATTACTTTTTAAAGATTCAAAAACGTATCATTTTTTATTCACTCATGTCTTGTCTATCTGAAACACAATCTAATCAATGTGTCATACTTTTTAGCATCCACTGCATACATTTATTCAGATATATGGATAAAATTCATGTATTACAATTTCTCCTTAGTCCTTTACTATCTTCTGGGTTTGATTATTTACTTCCCTTTTTTATTTGCCATCAACTATTATTTGAATATAGCTTGAATGTTTTGGCTTGCATGCTCTTCCCGATAATACCTATTTGATCTTTGCCAATGATCCCTGGAAGTTATTAGTAGGTAAGTATAGCCATTATTTGAGACTAGTTTACTGCTTATCTTTAAGCATGATATCTCAATGTTGGCACGTACCGTATTGTTTCATCATGAGTCTTCACATCTTGTTTACTCTTCCTCGTTCATATCTTTCATGGGGCTTCGATTCTTAAGCTAAGTCATCTTTTCTTTATCTTGAGTCTATTTAATCCTCTTTTAAGTTAGTTACATTAAGCCATAGCATATTATTCTTATTCGAAGCCATCCATTTACCCACTGAATTTTCTACCTTGACCACTATCTATTTTCATAATTCATTCTTATTGGTTCATTATATAATCAAACACTCCTCTATGGTGAATTACTTTCAGGGTCTCCTGTTTTTGTGGATGCTCTCACTTAATCGGCTGGAACTATAGCGAACTAGTAAGTGAGATCGTTACTTTTAAAATGCAGAGGCTATTTCGATGAAGCAGTATGGTTAAAACCTTATAAATATATATCGTTATGGCATGTTTTGAATATCCCCAATGATTTTTCAAGAATCCTTTTCGACTGCCTATTTTGCCTTCGTAGTTCGCTTTGTCCCTCCTTGTTCAGGTATATGTGTTGTTCACGATAAATGGAAAATAGATCTTGACTGTTCATGAATTTTGAAATTGTAATTTTACCAATTTTGATCTTACAGTCTGTAATACTTTGTGAACCAAGCTGAACTAAAGTTTTTATCTCGCTTGTTCATG